GCCCTTCATCCTTTTAGATATTACATTATTATCCTATCCTATCTTCATTAACTCTAATTAATAAGTATAATTTTTAATTATCTATCATATCCTAATTAATATGTAATACAAGCTGGGATCTAATTTTTAATTACCTATCATATCCTAATTAATATATCGAAGAACTACAATCCACTTAAGTGGACAAATAATCTTGTCCTCCTAACTTTTTTCTCCATTGATTTTGCCTTTGGATCCATGAAACATATGAAGATCACTTTTGAGATTAGTGTATCTCTTGATAGCACAAATTTTAACATAAAATGAGTGGATAAAAAGTTAGCATGACAATGATTGCTATCCACTCAAGTGAATTGTAGCTCATCTCATATATATATGAGAATAATGGAGGTGAGCTGGCAGCTCACCTACCCCCGTGAGCTGCAAGTGTATGACATGTGAGCCCCACACCGATGTGACTAGTAGGGGGCTCACATGTCATACACCATATTCCGTAGCCACTTCTCCAAAATGACAAAATAGAAATCATACTCTCTCTAAAGTGGAACTTTGGGAAAAGCATTCTATGGACAAAAATACCCTTTGTCCTTTTAGATATTACATTATTATGCTATCTTATTCTAATTAACTGTAATTAATAATTATATGTGTGAAGTTTTCTTATGGAGTGGAGAACCAGCAGAACAAATTTGCAACTAATAACCTTATCAAATCCCTGAATACTAAAATATCTCTAACTATCTAATCTCTTGTAAAAATCCTATCTTCCTAAAAAGCTTTTCTTCTCTACCTTTCTTCTTTGCCTTTCTTCACAGCAACACCTGAGGAGAAGCTTGGTAGAGTTAGAAGTGGGCACGGATAGGGATTCCATTCTTTTCACATTTCTAATATCTTTTGAAGAGCAAGCCCATCAACAGTGACCACCGTATTATCCTTTTTATTTCTTCAGCTACGGTTATTTAGGTAGTTTATTTGTTTTAGAATTTTTTTGGAGCCGTATGTGGCCTTTTCAGACTATGATGTATTTCTTATTCTTTTCCATTGCAGATGGATGTAGCTAAACTCCATCTTTATGGAGATCTCTTTATGTATGAGAATATATTTCTTTTGCTATCTTAGTTACATACTTTGTTGTGTAGTTTTTGGGTACATATCTATGTACAAGATGATATAGAGACTTGAATGTGACCGTAAGGTTGCATTGTTGGTCGGGTCACATTCTTACTTGTACAGTTTAGGAACCGGGGCGTGACAGTTATCTTATCCTATTAAATTATTATCCTATCATATCCTAATAAACTCTAATTAATAAGTTTCAATTATTTTATCATATTCTAATTTATATGTATATTAGATATTATCGGCCGAGTTATCGGATTTGGGAGCTCTCCGCTAGGATAAATTGGATTTTTAATCGGTTATCGTTTTTCTAGGTTTATCGGCGATTTATCGGCGTTATCGACACTTTTTCGGCCGATAAGTAAGACTTTTTTATCGGGATTATCGGGATTATCGGCCCATTTTGACTAACATTATATTTTTTTCAAGGCTATGATGCAAGTTTCGCTTTCTACAATTGGTTAATGATTCTAAACATAATGATTTACATTTTGGTATGTTTATATTTCATTAAGCATGATTAGATTATATTTTTTAATTGTTTATTATATATACACATCATCCAGTATATTACTCCGATAAATACTACTTATCCCCGATATATTCCCGATTTTCGCTATCCGATAAGGATTTTGTCCGTCCGATAAATCCCCGATAACCGATATTTAAAACCTTGCCCGTAATTACTTAAGTTATCGAAAACTAACCCTAATTACCATATTTCCACTCAATTTTCCATCAAAAAATTAATACTTTCATGGTTTTACCCCCTTTAGGTTTAATTTGTTAAGTTTGGATCTCATAATTAAATTTGTGGAGCTTTGGATATGAAAGTTAATTTTTTTTTGACAATTAAAATAAAATTTTATTAAAATTTAGTATATCAAGATCAAATTTTGTTAAGATTATAGCAAAGTTAAATTTTGTTGAACTTTAAAGTTTTTTTTTGGGTTAAAAAAAACTTCATGGTATCAAAGTGAAAAATATAGTCAACCCTGAGTTATTTTCAGCCAAGGAAGCATTTTGTAGTATCAAAGCTAAAATAAAAAATAAATTGGAATATTTAATTTTAATACCCAAAGCTTAACAAAATTAACATATGTAGGGGAAAATTATCAAAATATAATTGTGGGATGGAGAATTGGATGGAAAAGTGCATAGGTGGTTCTATCTTAACAGAATTACAGATAATGGTGGTTTTCTGAAAATTGAGTAATTAAAAGGTGGTAATGTGAAATATAGCCTAAGTTATGTGTGATTTCCTTTTTTTTAAAAAAAAAAACCCATTTATTTACTAGAAAAAGCACACAAATTTGAAAATTTGACAATATAAAGATTTAAATCTGGCATCTAACATATAAAAAATAGAAGTCTTTATCTTATCATTCGTTTCTTTCTATAAACAAAGAGAAAGATTAGGTCAAATTATGATATATTCTTACGTCCTAAGTTATCTTCATGATTAATGATCTCAAAAAAATTATCATAATTAAGAAGATAAATGTTAATATTGTGTGAGTGACCAACAAAAAAAATATCCAAAATCCATAGAATTTTGACAACTCATAGAAATACTTAAAAACCATAATTTGAGATTTGTCAAGAAAAATAAGCTCACAAAATTAGTAAAAATATGCAAAAGATTTTCAGAAATTATATACTTTGCTGAAAAGTTCACATAACTTATGAAACCCGAAAGACTTCAATATATTAAAAAGTTTATCAAAAAATACTAGATTTTATAAAATTTGCAGAAAAATCCAGAATTCAAACATTTTAATTGTTTTTACAGAAAAGTTCTTAATTTAATAAAACACCAGGAGGTTACAAAATTTACAGAAAAAATGATCCTAAACTTCAAAAAGATCCCTAAAATTTCATTAATTTATAAAACAAAACTAGAGCTTCACAAAATTTAGCCAAGTAGAATGGCAATAAAATATCATGAAATTTGATAAAACAAGCTCAAGAAATGAACATTGGAATTTAGAACTCATTTATGATCATCATCAGTACACAATAGAAATATATATTCATTTTAAATATATTATAATTCATTCTCAATGACTATTTTGCCATTAATTATATATATGTATATATATTATTATATAATATATATATATATATATATATATATGATGATTAATGGGTATCCTTGTCATAGGAGGGGATTTCCTCCTATGATGCATTTAAAATCACATGATGAGCGACATTGTGGATGATCCGCTCCGTTGAACTTGATCTACATATTCTAAAACCCCAACACACCAAGTTTGGGGTGAACCCGTCGTCGTTTGACCCTTCATCCACTCGTATCAATTTTAACGGTTTTGAATGAATAGAATTTTCACATGGCTCAATGGAGGGTCAAACGACAACGGATTCACCCCAAACTTATGTGTGTGCGATTTTTAGAATATGTAGATCAAGTTCAACGGAGCGGATCATCCATAATGTCGCTTAATCATGTGATTTAGAGGCATCAAGAGGAAATCCCCTCCTATGACAAGGATACTCATTAATCTATATATATATATATATATATATATATATATATATATATATATATATATATATATATATATGTGTGTGTGTGTGTGTGTGTGTGTGTGTGCGCGCGCGCGCGCTCTCTCTCTCTCTTAATTAAAATTTTTATTAAGGTGATGACTACAATGACAAACTACGATCAGTCAGCCATTCATTAACCCTGATTCACATAAATTCGGTGGAATGTTTTCACTTATTTCACTCTTAAATTTATGTATAATTATATGTAAACACTCAAAATTTCTTTATAACACTTTAACCTAAATTTATTTCTCTCTTTTTGATTAACTTTCTCATTTTTCTGCCCACAAAATAAATTCAACATATAAAACAATTATGTCCATAATGCAATTACATTGAAGATATAAACTTAAAAGAAAACAATTTATCATATTTGACCACGTGCAACGCATCCCACCTAGTTTATATAAAAATTGGTCCTAACTTCTCAGGACCATTGTTGATTTTTGTAATTTGAAGATATGTTCCATTAAACCTGATTTTTCTGCACAAAAAGAGAGGAAGACGTAATTTGAGCATTACACCAAGAATTAAAGATGTATTGAAATATTTACATTTCCAGAACATAAATGAGGCTATATAGCCTTAACCAATTAGATTAGTATAATATTTTTTTATCAAACTTAGACTAATTTAATTTAAGAAGTTGGAATTGGTCATACGTGCAATTTCAACATCTCCCTTGTTCTTTTACCTTTGGAATGTTAAACAATAGCCTACTTACATTGTTTAACTGAATCAAGATTTGGTTGGTGAACAAGGTGCAGTAAATTAAAATGGCTATGGCAGTTAAATACCAAAAAATTTCCTGTTTTGACACTTATATACCATGAGTTGTTTTCTTTTTTTCTTTTTTCTTTTTTGCAAATAAATATCATAAATTATTTTAAAATAGTCACTTTAGTACTCTCGATCATGCAAACATGAAAATTTTCACCTAAATATTTGTCTATAATTCTTACATGCTAATGTTTGAGCTTTTTAACTATTAATATTTCATAAATTGCTATTAAGTCTACCAAAAATCTTAATTCTACTTTAAAATAGAGTTGGGAAAAGTTTAATGGTAAATTTAACAAATATTAATGTTAGAAAGTTATAAACTTAATATGTTAGTGTTACATGGGAACATTTGGGTAAAAAATTTCGCATTTTTATGATCGAGGGTACTAGCATGCCAATTTTAAAACAACTTATGGTATTTATTTGCCACAAATAACAGCTCATGGTATATAAATGCCAAAATTGGGAGACTTTGTGGTATTTAAGTGCAATTTAGGCAATTAAAATTGTAGACACAATCATTGTGAACCTTTCATCAAATCCACCGTCTGAATTGTTCGTACGTTGCAAAATTACACAATTTTTTCACTAATCCAAGCCAAAATCAAAGTAACTGTTAAATTTAAATCCTATCTCACTGATTGATGCATGAAAAAGGAAACAAAACAATAATAATAACAAACATACCTCAACATCTAAATCTTCACAAAGCGTTGCCTGACTTTAGCTTTCTCAGCATCAATTATAGACTCCACGAGCTTCACAGATTCATCAAGCTTTCCTTCAGCATTAACAACAACATAATCGAAGTTCTTCATATGCCTTACTTCTTCTCTAGCTGTGGCAATTCTCACAAGCAACATATCACTTGTTTCAGTTTTTCGATCTATGAGTCGCTTTACTAGTGCTTCTTCACTCTCTGCAACGAGAAAAATGAAGACAGCGGAATCTCCAAGGATTGATCTTAGGGTTGCTGCTCCTTGTATATCTACTCTTAGAACAATGTCGTAGCCCTTGGCCATGAAGTCTCGAATCTGAAGAACAAAGTACATAAACTTTCATAATATCCAGTGGCAATTTGTTAAACCAACAACGAGAATAAGAAGACAGATATCTGATACTTCAAAATTTATGCTTAGTAAGAACAAAGGTTTGCGACAAATAGATGTATAAATAAGAGATTTAAGTTTGGAGTCAGAATATAAAGCTATCACGAATCATCTATCTAGAAATTTATGTTTATTGAACATATGGGAGTAGCTTTCATTAGTTCTCAGGATTTGTGGCCTACTGTGATAGTCGTTCTACATTATAACCCTATTCCCAAATAAGAATTGTAGCATAAAGTAATTCACATTAACTATGGAACAAAGAATATGCAGTAGGATACATGAACGGTTCAGTGGTGGTAACAAATCAGGACAAGTGCAGAGATGTTTCTGATATTGCAAGCAAGAATGCCATTTATCCTAAAGAAATATATAATACATTGTTAAAGATTTCCACGTCTGGCAGAATGTATATATGTCTCAAGCTGGTACTTACATGCAATACTATTGATGATATAAATTCTTTAGATAATCCCAAAATTCCTTGGCAATGCTAAATTTTGATAACTGAAGTCTGATACTTTGGTCTACATTGTAGATCCATATAATGATCTTCAAATTATAACATGCTCATATTTATCATCTCCTACACTGGCAGCGCTTGTTCCAGACTCTTTTTTTTTTGGAATAAAAAAATTCCATCAACATGCTTCTGAAAATTCGTGCCACGCAAGAAATGCATCATTACTGAAAACTAGAGCACATAGTTGTTACCATTCAAACTGATACCAACATAATGCAGATCAGCAGTTCTATCATTGGTCATGATCGACTTCAAACAAACCCAAGTGGTGTTCTTCCAAAAAGCAAAGGAAATGAAATCACAAATCAGACATGGAAATGAGAGATCAGATGGTGATGCAAATTGTGGGTGGTGCATCAATGAAGCGATGGATGTTTGGGACTACTAATCTGGTAGGGAAGTGACTTATTGATGGATCGGGTTGGAGTGATGACGATGCTGAGTAGATAGTACAGCAGATGCAACGACAACGTGCGGACTGAGGATATTGAATTACGACGGCGGTGCTGCAGAGGACTCTGATACCATACTAGGAATAGTGAAAAACCCACTTTCATTGCAATATAACATAAGTAATATTTTTTGGAAACAATTACAAATTTTTTTCTTTAGAATAGCAACATAACTCATTCACTACATTTTCCAACACAAATTTCGAACTGTTTAACTTCTTTCTTTATATAGTTTTAGCCATCTACGAAAGATGCAGAGTAGATAAAGTTATAACCAATGCCAATACCATCTTGCTAATTTTATATAAAAAATAATCTGGATCTAGTAAGAAATTAGGCCCCAAAAAATTTTAGCTTAAAAATTGCAAGGAGAGAAACCTTCGCTTTTCTTTCTTCTTCACTCATGAACGCTCAGCCTCCTAATCTTAAACTCTTTGTTTCAATCATAAGCTCACTACTTTCCAATCTCACAAAAATGAAATCTAATATCCTCTTGCTTCTGCAATCATTAGCACTCGGTCTTTTAATACCAAGATATCATTTAATGATGCTCTTGAATCTGCAAATATGATCGCTCAGCCTCCCCCATCTCATTTAAACAAAGTCTAATGAGACTCCTACTTCTGCAAACATGATCACTCTTGCCAAAGAACCAGTGAAAATACTCCTCAGAAGCCAAAGCCTACTCTGCTACTTAAATGCAGAAAGTCCACGCATGCTCAAAATCACACAACAAATCTCATCATGATTTCAACTGTGGTTTTGGCATATACTCTTTGCAATGATATTTTGGACTGGTCTTCACCTAATTTTCCTTCAATTTCGCAGTCTCATGACAAATTGCCTGCAGCTCACGCTAGTACTTGACATATGCCTCATGTTTTGCTTTTGAGTGAAGAGAACTTCTCGAATCCAACTACGCAACTAGCATCCAACTCATGTACCTCATGTCTGACTCCATGTGGCTTGAATCAGCTCCACTTCAGGCATCTGAGTCGATCAGATCCGTTCCTTCTGCAGATCCAGTCAAGTACTATCTGTATGTGTTTCCCATTGCATATCTAAAGCATTGTGTGGCAGAATGAGCCATCTGATTTAATCAGATCCAATGCACTTCTGCTCGATCGTCTTCAACAGGATGAATCCATTTCTTACTATATAGTATATAACAAACCATTATGTTGCAGTTTGACTCATCTTATAACATTAAATTTGATCCACTTATTCAGTCATCTTTGATGGGCCGAATCCATTCCCACTCCAATACAAACTCATGGTTTCGATCTACTTTGAGTTCAAGGGGATGTTAAAAGATGTACTTTATTTGTACTGCACTATAATGCATTTGTACTACCTTTTATATGTAGTTCACTAACTCTACATAGAGAATAGTACTCTCATTATCATTATATCAATTGAAAACCGAGTTTTCATTACTCCTAGCATGCATTATTACAAACTTGATTTTAACGAATACATCAAACAGTTTGAAGGAAGGAGGAAACATGAGGATATTATAACATTATTGGAAATGAGATCCAAGGGTGTAGATTTGGATAAATAGGTTATGCAGAAAAAAAAAAGTTTGAATACAGGGAAAGTTAGGCTATAATTCACTAAAATTTGGATTTAAAGGAACTTGCAGGTGGTTCAGGCACACCAGCGAGTAAGTAACAATATCACTAAGAACAAGCTCTAAGATTTTGATCAAAGGTCTCTCATTAATAGAATGTTAAAGAATGCACCAAAGACTGAATGCAACAGAACTGCACGTCATAAATTGAGATAGCTTCAACTTGTATACTGATAATTCAAAAACAAAGAGAGGAAAAGAGCCAGATTGACATAGGTTCAGTTTTCGAAAGAAAAAAAGCATTGGAAAATATGTGGTCCAGGTCACTATTCCTTTTTCCCACTTCTAACTTTGAAAAATAGTGAGAAGTTTTCCAGATGGAAAAAATAAAATCATATTCAAGTGGAAATACATATGGATACCTGTTGTTTTGGAATCCCTTTGTAATCCCCATAGACAAGAGCATATTCTAAGAGGTCATTCCTTTCAATCATAGAAAGGAACTCCTCTTTTGTAACAAAATAGTAATCCTTCCCATCAACCTCACCAGGACGTTTTGCTCTGCTGGTAGCTGTGACGACAAAGTGGATTCCTCCACGAACTTCTTGAAGCCTCTGAAAAATTAAAAGGTTTAGCTCAGACTATGTTGGAACATGCTCATGATATTCTGAAAGAGCAAACTTTACACTAGAGGCATAAGGTATATACAGTAACAAAGATAAAATTCTACACTAGAGGCATAAAGTAAAAGTATAGTAACAATAAGGACAAGTAGAAGATCCAAAATTACATCAAAATATGGTGAGAATGGTAAACTTGAGATAAATATCTGTTTGAAACCTAAGAAAGTAGATGATTGTAACCACACTACCTATCGTGGAAGAAAATTCTTTTCCAGCATGCTCACATAGAATTAGCACAAATAAAATATTTATCAAATTAAAACCCACAGCAAGTAGCTTCAGTATCTAAATGTTAATCAACAAATAGGAGAAAATGTTCAAGTGGTTCCTCACCTGCTACAGTAACTGGAAATCATTTGTTTATTTATTTATTTACTTATTTAATAGCTAAGAGGCCGATAAACAGAAAAAGGTAGAACAGCAAACTTTTGATTAACATAAGAATGACCATCACAATGGCTAGTTCATGCTATTTAAACCTGTTTAACACTTACAAGTTTACAAGAATAAGTTAGGGGCTTAGGTAGACTAATGATGAAATAAAGCATTTCTTTGCAAAATTAAATGAGGCTACAATAGGTTAATCACTTCTACAGGGAAAGGGAAAAAAGAAAAGAAAAAAGAAGATGCAAGAAACTACCCTGGCACTTGTTGATAATAATAATTTTAGTCTTGACATTGACATAATCCCAAGCAACTATACATATAGAATCAAGGTTTTAAGTATCAGATATATTGATGCATATCAGTTGTGTCATGGATTTGAAACATGCATTCAGTCCCAAATGAAAGTAGACCATACCACTAACACTGGCTAATAACTCTTAAGGAAGATATTTGAAGTATCAAAAATTGGTTTGAAACTATTATAATGGGGAAAATCCAAAAACAGAAATCAATGAATAAATTGGTCTGAACTGTATTATAGTGTAGGAAAAGAGAAAAGCAGAAATTAATGAATAGAAATCTTTGCTACTAAACTAAATTATTTCTTGTCCTGATATCTCTGGACCAAAATTTCCAAAACTGCAGGAACTCCTAATACTTATATCAAGGAAGGAAAAGTTAACCAAAACCAATACCGATATCTAAAACGTTAGGTGGAAGAACTAAATGAACAAGTTTCATCTCATTCTAGACAGATTCCTGCTCTACAAAAAGGCTACTTGATTTAATGCTCTTAACATGCATGTCCATATAGGTAGGTTCGCATATCCTTTTTTTCACGAGCATTTGTTATTCCCTCCCTTGTATGGTTAACTCAACCAAGAATTTGTACTAAATCATAGAGAGTTGACATCAGGTTTGTTAATTATTAAGTTATGCATGAAATTGGTCTATATTATTAACTCGCAACCTTTTAGCTATAGCATAGGATAAATTCAACGTTCGGCGAGGTTGATAGCTAGTCATGTTCAGAACTTAACCCGTTTTGATTGGAGACGACTTGAATAAAGATAATCAATAAGAGTTGCAAGAGCTTATTGTTTCCAATATGATAATAAAAAAGATGTTATTCTTCATAATATGAGCCTACGAGAAACCATAACTTATGAATAACATTAACACAATACCTTGATAACGGCATCCTTGCCTACACCACTTGGACCACTGATTACAATGATTAATGGGTTGGGCGGCGGCGCTAAAGGATCTGAGCCAAAAGTTGAACCTATCGCCGCTTCCAACCCCCTGAACAACTCAGCCTGTCATAGGATGTGCATGAATTTAGTTTCATAATACGGAAGAAGTGTGTAACAGAAAAGACTACATCATTCTCATCCCCCATAAACACATGGAAGCTGGGCGGACTCAATGTCACAATATTATGATGAAATATACGGATAACTAATCCTATTGTCTCATCACACATAATGTATAGATGTGTGCAAACTTTCAAAGTGTGCTGCTATGTACTATCGTTATTATCGCCCGTATACACAAAATACATCACTCCCCGTCTAAAAAGAAATGAACCCTAATGTATTAACCATTTTCCGCAATGTTGGGCTTAACAAAGATTCTTATAAATAAAAAAAACATCCCCAATTTAAGTAACGGAAACAATTGTAATAAAATACCTTAAAACAAGCATCAATTACACAACAACACCCAATTAAAGTTACAAAACTTGCCACCTCAGACAAGGTTTTTCGTCGTAGAATCCTGACCTTATCGCCATTGGACGGTGGAAGGGGAGCAAAGGGTTGCCGCCGCCTCGCTGCGTCCTCAGTCCTGCAGCCGCCGGAGGCCATGAAAGAGGACCTAGAGCTCGATTTATGGAACCCAAAGCGGTTGATTTGGGGGAGGATAGGGTTAGGGTTTGAGATTGGGGGCGAAAAAGATGGGATTTTTTTGGAGAAGATGAGCCTGCGGAATATGAGCATGGGTGAAGAAGAAGAGAGGGGGTTTACGGATGGAGTCACGAAGTTAGTAGAAGCCTTCACATGCTCTCCCCATTTGCTGCATTTTTTTTTCGTTTTACCCTGGGTTTTTCTCCATATCAACCCCTTTCATCTTTAATTTCTTAAATTAGTCCCTCACAACAGTAAAATTGCCCATACGTCCCGTTCTAGGTCTCTCTCCGGATGGATGGATTGAGTCCTAACAGCTAGGGGTGTGCAACGGTCGGTTCGGTTCGATTTTTATCAAAATTTAAACAACCAAACCGAACCGAACTGTTGTAAGTCGGTTCGGTGCGGTTCGGTTTGGTTTGTTCGGTTCTAACTTCATCAAGCTTCTTATCAAACAACAAACTGTGTTAAAGAAAAAAAAGATATCAATAAAGTAGGAGATTATGAAGCATTAAACACTGATATAATAATATTATTTTTAACCCATAATGATTCAGAAAATGAGTTTAGGGTTTGACTCTTTGTCTCTTTGGGGACGGGTCGGGTAGGGTTTGAGATCAGAATGAGTAGTATTACGCTATATTCGGTCGGTTCGGGTCGATTCGGGTTGAAAAGTTTTCAATCCGACCCGAACCGCCCTACTCATAAAATCGATTTTTCCGGGTCGGTTCGGTCGGTTTTTTCGGTTTGAACTGAACCATGCTCAGCCCTACTAACAGCTCATTGAATCAAGGGACCTAAAATAATTTGATATTTTGGCTGGGTGAATTGTACATAGACCCCTTCTTTGTACGTTGTTCTACAGGTGGTATCGCCTAGTTTCATTGTGGTGAATAGATACCAGAATTAATTCGTTTGACTCTGTTAACTTTAATGAATTTTTTGGCAGAGTGCTGCTACAGGGACCTCAAAATAGAGGATCCTGTATGGGACAGGTGAGGTGTCGCCTTCCTGTCCCGTGATGTACTGTTCATGAGATGTCGCCTCCCTATCCCGTGATGCACTGTTCATGAGGTCATGAACAGTGCATCACGGGACAGGGAGGCGACACCTCACATGTCCCACTCAGGATCCCTTATTTTTGGGTCCTTAAGGCATTTTTCTTTTTGGCAGATATTGCCTCTAAACGTCCCCAGGAGCCTTCATCTCATCCTGTTAGCAACACAACCGAAAAACCTAACCACAGATTGATAATAAAAAGAACGAAAAACAAGAAACATGATCACTTGTTCCTCCAAAATAACACTGTTTGTCGCACCACGTACTCCACCAGCGGTAGGAAAGCAACTGCAAAACTTCTTCTCAGAGTCCTCCTCTGTTACGTGGGACAAATTTTTAAAACCGACCCTTTTGTGAACTTAACCCCAAAAACGATCTCATTCAAACAAAATTGCAAAAACCGATCTGGTTTCAGCCTCAGCGCTGAAACCAGGTCGGTTTTTGAAAAAAATTCTGAAACTTCACTGGAGTTGAACTCCCGTGAACTTTAGCAGATCTCCTAAACTTCACGGTAGTTCAACTCCTGTGAAGTTTCGATTTTTTTTAAAAAAAACCAATCTGATTTCAGTGCTGAGGTTGAAACCAGGTCGGTTTTTTGTAATTTTTCTTGAATGGTGATGTTTTTTGGGAATAAAAGTCTAAATGGGTCGATTTTGAAAAATTGTCCCTGTTATGTGGGATAAGATTATTCCAGGAGTTGTGATGGCTACTCATACAATAAATGGCGTTAATTGGCATATAAAAAGATAGGGGCCTTGTTATAGTAGTGCTCCACCTCTGTCATATTTTGAGATTAGTCATCTCTCTCTCTCTCTCTGGCATATAAAAAGATAAGGGCCTTGTTATAGTAGTGCTCCACCTCTGTCATATTTTGAGATTAGTCCTCTCTCTCTCTCTCTCAATTCCTGCTTCAATATTTGAGAAAGGGGAAGTCTCTTTCCCAAATCAATGAAAATCAATAGCAACAATTCCTGCTTCAATATTTGAGAAAGGGGAAGTCTCTTTCCCAAGTCAACGAAAATCAATAGAAAAACTCATAAAGATCAAGATAGAGAAGGCTAATATGCAATAACCAATCCCCTATTCTCCAACGCAAAGTAACCCCCCCCCCCCCCCCAACCCTCTATATTACATATAAAACGGAGGCGCTATCGGGTCCCGAGGGGGGATAGGTGAGCTGTCTCCCTCCGGTTGGATAATGCACTTTTCATGAACAGTGCATCATCCAACCGAAGGGAGACAGCTCACCTGTCCCCCCTTGTGTCCCCTATTTAGGATCCCGGAGCATTAATCTACATTAAAAGAGATTGTTTCAAGTTAGTTTAATTCTAGTTAGAGGGTTTAGTTTTGCACCGATTGGTTCATCTTTGAGATATTAGGCTTGTAGATTTCATTCTTACACGTGTCCGTTTGGAGACCTCTCCTGGACTTTTGAGTTTCAAGTAATCTGTTACGTAGCTATTATAAAGGCCTGATTTGTTTTTTTTTTTTTGGTTAGTTTTCTACCACTACTTTAAATGGTTTTTTATTGTTATAAGTTTGGATTGGAAATTTTGATTTGTTGTTGGTGTGATTTACGTGAATATGATTTCATGTATTCTTAGTTTGTTTGCGATTTTTGGCGCGTATTGTTGTAATTAGGTAGCAGTGATGGGTGAGAGACAACATATATTCTTGAGGATTTTTTTTTATTTATTTAACAGGTTGGCTTGTTTACGGGTTTAAGTTAACGGTTTCTTGTTTAAATTCTTAAGAGAAATTGCACGCTAAACTGTTAAAAGAGACAGAATATTCCATTAATTTTATCAAGGTGCTAACTAAAGGAACTTATTTCAATGCAGTTAAAAGAATCTGGGGGACTAACTTCCAATTTTTATGATGTGGGGGACTAAATCTTAAAATATGACAGATTCAACCCCGAAAAATAATTCTTGATAATCTTGGGTAATTTAGCTGTCTCCGTGAAACTCCAATACAGATATCTGTTTTCAAGGTGGAAACATAAATAAATGTAACTTCACTTTGAATTCAGTCTACAATTCAATCGGTGGTAAAAAAAATTATTGCAGAAAAACAATAATTCATTGATGGGTTTATTCGCTATGTACCCTAACATTAGAGGTATTTTAATCATCATAATTTTAAATTTGCCCCTCAAATTGTTTACTTCTTGCAATTTTGTCCCTCAACTTAAGTGTCACATCATCTAATGGAATATTCTGTTTAAGTAAGTAAAACATTTTTTAAATGTCTAAACTAACCTTTCTTAGATTAATTAAAAATAGAATAGTCAAGTACGCTATTTAGCTGTCTCTCGTGTCCCTGCAAAGTCTCCAACGAGCCATTTACTTTGCCGCTGTCTTTTTTGCAACTTCTAGGAATATTGTAGTCTTTTGTGTTGCGTATGGAAAGCTCTTCTTCTAATCTTCTCATGATCAAGATCATTTTGGGGTAAATAACAAAGAAGTTTAGTTCACGAGAACAAGCTTAAATGATTGGTGTGCTTGGGAGATGACTAGGGGAAGGAAGGGAAATTTTTTTCCTTCCTTCCCTTTCCCTTCTTTACGTAAAATTTTAGTTTAATTTCCCCCCTCATTCCTCTTCTCTACCCTTCTAATTGGAACTCCCAAACAAAAGTAAATCAAAATTTTCATTCCCCTTCCCTTCTCTACCCTCCATCCAGGCCAGATGGGAAACTAAGAAGAGATACAAAAGCAATTAGGAAGAACAAAAGATGCGTGAAAAAAAAGATCTGGATCATGGGTGCCTTAATGCTTGGTAATTATATTTGTAATATAGTTTCAGAATCAGTATCAGAGAAATCCATGTTAGTATTTATTTTTAAAAACAAGATAGTCACACATCTGATATTTGAGCATTCTTTTAAAGGTTTAAAAGCATTTAATGATTATTAGGTTTTGAAAAGTTATGACTATTGAAAGCATCTTTTTAAATCTATAAATAGTTTATAATTTCAGATATCTTAACTTAACTACTTTTTCAAAGCTTTTCTGTCAAAAACATCTGCAATACTACAAACTTGTTTCGCAAGAATTTTTGTCTCATTTATAATTTTTTCTAACAATCCAAGGAAAAGAAAAGGGTTTTGAGTATTGTTAGACTATGGGTAAACTTGAGGCAATCAGGCTTCGTGTAATGTGGGTGAGAAACTGAAAGAACAAGAGAATAGGGGCAGATTTGAGGATCCAATTTTTTTTCATCCTAATATCAAACATATCAAAGAGGGGTATAAAGGTAATTGAATCCTAAATATCAAACAGGGGTATAAAGGTATAAAGGCTTAAAAGCTAATTTGGTCCCTAGATACAGGGCCTCCATACTCAAATTGGTCAATGTACTTTATTTTTCCTTAACTTAGTCTTTGTACCACACACCAATTATAAATTAAGTCTTTTTTAACATTAATTAAAAATTAGGTGTTAGCTTTTCATTTATAACCTTATTACCCTCAATGACATGATAATACATGTCCATGTACTTCATTCAAACTTCTACACTGTATTAGTTATGGTGTTTTTTATAAGTTAAATTTAATACGAATTACTTCTTCATTTAATTGTTATAATATGACGATTTTCTCGAATAAATCAACTGTTGGAGATCCTTTGCTAGGACTGAACCTAAACAGGATACGTCAAGTCTTCAATCTTTTTTGATACATTGCTCTTCCAATATCAATTTTATGGTCGGTCATGCTCCTATAATTTATTTTGTCTCACTGACTAGCTTATGATATCAGTTCCCCTATCATTAAAATTTTTTTAATGCTTTCTGGATATACTTTTGTTGAGGAGTGAGACCAGCTAAACACCACATCATTTTGCTAAGGATGTTCAAGGAGGTGACTTCTTTTGGCTTCAAGTGTTCTTTTCCATTAATGGGTTTTGGGAGGAGTGATGATGCCCTTGATCCTTGTTCCTCTATATTAGCTTTTAGATAATGAAATGCTTTTTGTTCACTTGACATTTTGTCATCCAATGTTTTTGGTGACTTTCTTGTTAAATCCAAGTTGTTGGATAGCAGGTTCCTAATATGTTTCCTAATCTATTTTGGTAACAGGTTATTGGGATTCCTAATCTGTTTTGGTAA